TCCGCCCTAGTAGCTCACCATACGGTGCGCCAGTTCTCTTTGTACGGAAGAAGAACAAGGATCTTCGCTTGTGCATCGACTACCGCAAGCTCAACGCACAGACCGTCAAGAATGAGGGACCTCTTTCGCGGATGGACGACCTTCTCGAGCGTTTGGGCGGCGCGAAATTCTTCTCGAAGTTGAACTTGAAGTCGGGCTACCATCAAATCTCAATACGCCCGCAAGATTGCTACAAATCCACGTTCAAGACACGGTACGGGCATTTTGAGTGGATTGTTACGCCTTTTGGCCTCACCAATGCCCCGACGACCTTTCAAGCGGCAATGATCAACAAGTTTCGTGCGATGTTGGACTGGTTCGTACTAGTTTACTTAGACGACATTCTCGTCTGTAGCCGGACATTGGAGGATCATCTTGAGCACCTTCGACGAGTGTTGGAGATGCTCCGCCACGCCAAGTACAAAGCCAACCACGACAAGTGCGAATTTGTCCGGCAAGAGCTGGAATGCTTGGGCCATTTTATCACACCGGAGGGCATTAGTCCGTTGTCGGACAAGATTCAAGCCATCCAAGAGTGGTCGGAGCCAAAGAACGTCGCAAATGTTCGTTCCTTCCTTGGCTTAGCCGGCTATTATCAACGCTTCATCAAGGGATACGCGAAGATCGCGGCCCCTTTATCCAAGCTTCATTGCGAGGACCGGCCATTCGACTTGGACGACAATGCGCGGACTTCCTTTTTGGCTCTCAAAGCCGCATTGCTATCCGCGGAGGTGTTGCGCATCTACGACCCGCTTCTGCCGACATGTGTCACTACCGATGCGTTCGGCTATGGCATTGGTGTCGTCCTCGAGCAACATGATGGCGTGGACTGGCACCCTATCGAGTACTTTAGCAAGAAAGTGTTCGCCGTGCACTCGATCGACGATGCACGGAAGAATGAATTATTGGCCTTCGTACACACGCTCAAGCGCTGGTGGCATTTTATCCTCGGTCAACGGCAGTTCCAATGGGTAACGGATAAATCCATTGGTCTTCTACAAGACCCAAGACACGATTATTGACCTTCGTACACGCGCTCAAGCGCTGGTGGCATTTTATCCT